GTTATTGAACTTTTTTTTAAGAATACATTTTTTTTTAAGCTGAGAAGTATAGGGATGAAAAAGATGTTATATTGTGTTTGACTATTTTCCAACTTGTATTTTCATATAATTTATATTTTTTAAAAGCTGAAAATTTAGAAGCAAAATGAAAAAAAGGAAAAGCAGGTGCTTTTTAAAAATCAGAACTGAGGTAGCTTAGAGATGTAGCGATGTAAGTGTCGATGTTTTTTTTTTTTTTTTAAAATGCAAAAAAATTCTTATGGCGGAGTTTTTTGTTTGTTTATTTTAGTAGCTGATGCTGGCACATCATTTTGCTGGAGAGTTTTTTATATACTGTAGCCTGATTTCATATTGTATTTTAAACTGTGTGAAATTAAAAACAAAGAATTTCATTCATAATGCTGTGGCTTTGGCTTGATTCTTTCTTGTCTGGATCATGTATTAAAGCAGAACAAATCAACCAACCAGAGGCAAGCACAGAGGGATGCAGTTTAGTCTTTCTGATCTCACTAGCTCAGGACCATTGGTGATAAAGATTTCCTAATAAGGTGAGAACTATAATAGGAATATAGGGAAGTCATCAAACATCCCAAACATTGAATATATTTTGTCATCCTTTGTAGAATGTCCCTGGCCTTGTCAGACCTAATTTCTTCATGTTTGAAGGTCTAAGAGCCATGTGAAGAAAATTTTTAATGACTCAACAGATAAACATTTGATTTCAGCTAGGTACCGTTCCTGATATGAATACAGAAAGTTGAACATCTTTAGTGGATCCTGTGGGAAAGGAGCAGTATTCTTGTGTCCACCATTGATAGTAATTTTGCTCTGTGGCAACTTGGGCCCTTCACATCCATCTCCTTGGCCCCAACTCTTTCACTGGGGCTGAAGATTGGGAATAATAATATCTGTCAGAACCCCTAGCAACCCATGCCATAAATAAAATCATATTTATAAGTGCTTTGGAGGGGACTGCTTAGGAACACATCGTGCATGGTGCTTATTCCTTGTTGCTGAAACTGTAGAAGGTGGATGTTTTTAATTAACACCAACATTTGCAACATGAATCCCAGCTCACAGCTGGAAAGTGAATTTTTGCTGAATTGTTCACAAAGAGAGCTCTGTTTTTGGAAAATCTGTTTCTTCAGGCCTGGAGCTTGAGGTTTGCTGAGTACACGTTAAGCACGGACTGTGTGGTCTGGTGGTCAGGGAGCAGGACTGGCCGCGAAGAAGCCTCCAGCCCCTGAATCCTGGTCAAGCCACTAACATTTACTGGAGACTTTGGGAAAAATGGCTTCAGGTCCTTACATTTTGTTTTTAGTTTTCAACTGCAAACCTGGGCAAAGCCATAATTCCTGAGCCAACCTGAGGCCACATTTGAACTCTTCTGAATAAACAGCACACAGAGAATAGGTTTCTGCTTCAGGCAAGGATTCAACCAGAGAGCTTTCCTTCAGTGCCAAGTTGCTGTTATCCCTCCAAGTACCTGACTTAATGCTCACCAGGGTCAAAGATGCAAGATGTACTTGAATGAAATCAGCTTAGCCCTACCCTTCTCCCACTAGGAGCTAGAGTTCAGATGAGGAACCCTCAGGCAACCGGGCTTTGGTGATTTCTCTTAACAATACTGCTGAGACCATGGTTGAAGCTGCAATGGTGGAGGTCTGGAGGGGAGACTATCTTTCAAAGCAACTGCACAATTTGGGAAGACGGGCAGGGTGAGGATAGAAGGAGACACAAGGGAAAGTGGAGGTGATGATCACACTCTGTAGATTTGAACAGCTTTCAGGAGGTGATAGGATAAGAAAATGAACCAAGTCTATTCTGACTCGACTGCTATAACTTTGGAGCAAGCTACAGCACCCAAGACAAAAAGAAAAAAGAGCGGATCGGCAGAGGTGTATGAATGAAATGTAACTATTTTAACCTAAAAAGGGAAACGATTGTGATTTGTGCTTTGGGTACAATAAGGCAAACAATGTGAACCAGACGTCACACACAGGCTGCTTCCATGCCATAGAGATGTGCACTTCGGCCTTCACAGTGTAGGAAACCCAAGAGAAGAATGTACTGCAGTAGGGTAATGGGATGTCTTTGGATTCTAGCATATTGCTTCATAGCAACCACCATGGGCACTGAACTGAAGCTGCTTCCTTTAGGTGCATATCAGTCTCCTATTTTATCTCTCACAGGCCAGGCCCACACATTGACATTCCTGCCTTGTCCCTGTAGAATTTAATTTTGTGACCCCTGTGTAGATATCTATCCACATTCCAGGTTTATTTGGCATGAAGCTCATTTTATTCTAGAGCCTACAGTGGAAGAGAGTACAAGAGGTCATCAGGTTCATCAGAGAACCATCTGACTTCTAAGCCCCGTTCTTTCCATGACGCCGTATTGCTGGCCTAGAACTCTGAAAAGTCTCTTTTGATGATGCTGGCTGATGGCTCACCAGCTCTGGGAGCCACAGGCCTGGTTACTAAGGGGTACATTTCATACATCAAATACGGGACAAGGACAAAGTCTTCTTTCAGTAAGTAAGCCTTTACACTTCCGTACTGCTTTTTGACCTCTGCTTTTCCCCAGGGGCTGCTCTGGAAGGTGGCTTGCGACGCAGTTCTAGTTGTACAGAATCCCTTCTCTGGCTTGTATACAGGGATCCTTGACCCTCCTCGTGGCTGGATTAAGGACCTGGCCCTTGCATTTATGGGCATATTGGCTCGGCATGCGGCTGGCATCTCCTTACTCTGTGAGATGCCCCCATGCTGTGAGAATCCTCACCTAACTAACAGAAGAGAAAAGCATTCCTCCTGGCACTTTTTGCAGTGAGGCAGAGATTTAAGGAGGCTGATAAAGGCGGTTGTTGATCAATTGGTGAAAATGCCACAAGGTTTGAAGTTGAGGGAAAAAAACTTTGATGAGAATTTAGAACCCCAAATGAGGGGTAAAGTGGCTCTGGCCTCTTTGTCCCTTGGTCAGTGCCATTTCCTGGTTTATTCAATGTTCCAATCCCTCTCCCGGTTTCTACTTTCCTGGCAAATGCTTCTGCCCTGGGAAAGCCAGTTGCATCAGATTGCCTGGTGTATCTCAACGTCCTGACATCCAAAGTAATGATAGCGATGATCATCTGCCCACAGCAACCTAGGAAATCAACAAGGGCCAGCCAGGCTCGTGACAGGCTGCACAATCCCCAAAGCCCGTTTGAGTTTACAGTCCTATCTCTAATCTCTCTTCCCTGCCACTCAGGCTCTCGTGCTCTCTGGACCACAGCATTTCTACAGAGCTTTGATATCAGGTCGGCCCTGGTCATTCCATGTGATACAACTTAACAGCACAAGGATGTTTTCAGCAGGCTCTTGTGGGAATTAGTGAGGGTCAAGAGAGAGTCACGACCTTCTCTCTCCACTCCACATGGTCAGCCTGAGCCGCTGGCCCTGGGCGGTAACAGGCTCTTTTTAACCTTTTTATAGGCAAACCTACAATTTCAGCTGTGACTCTTCTTACACCTTGTCAAAGGCTGTCCCCCAGATGTACCTAGAAATAGCACATGTCCAGGTATACTCAAAGAAGTGGCAACTGTCTTCGCAAGCCTGAAAAGCTAATGATGAGTGCTGGGTTTGGTCTGGGATTGCCTCTGTTGGAACAAGGATATTCCTAACTTTAGAAGAAGAGATGGGACTGGGAGCTTCCAGATGGTTTTGGAACTGTGTTGTGTTCATCAGAAATAGTCATTATTCTTACAGATCTCAGGGGAAGGCAAGTTCAAAACTTCAAGTGTGACTGAATTGGGGGAATCCCTCTGCCAATCTGCTTCTCAGGTAGACCACCTTTGTTCCATTTGTTCTGCCTTCCATGGGAATAAGGAAGTTTGCAAATACAGTGCAGCCAGTGCACCTGTAATGTGAGATGCTTATCCGTATTTGAGACAAGGTAAGAATGACGGTGAAGACAATGACCAGTATGACCAGTGTTTAGGGGTAACAGATATTTCATTCAAATATCTGTTTTCTCTATGGCCAAGTTTTCATCATGATAGCACAGAGCTGTGCACATGAGCCCAAGGGGATATGTTTTCTTCACTGGCTCATCATGGAACACCGGCAGGCTGGGGTGGGTGTATGAACTCAGCAGGGTATGGATGGAAGGCTGTACTAACTCTGAGCACAGATTTCCCATTTAGAGCAGGAAGGGCCCGGGTGTGCCATGCGCATGATGGTGGCATGTGTTAGCTGCTCTAGGAACCCGTGCACGTGGCCTCTGAAATCTCAGATCAGAGCCCTGATCACAAATTCCAAAGAGCCTTCTTTCTGCAACTACAAGTGACAGTCCAAAACCTGAAGCCCAGTCCAGAAAGAAAATTAAAATAAGAGTGACCACACATTCTGGTGTACCTGGAATCGTCTCAGAGTCCCTCCCTTGTCCTGGCATAATTACTCAGCAGTTCCTGTTGGTCCCATGATACTTTACATGGTCTCCTAATTAAACCCAATAATGGCCTAGAGGATGATGAGATGAGGAGCAAATGCCAGAATTCTAAAATTTCACATTTTAGAGTCAAAAGAGACCTTAAAGATCATCTGGTGCAACCTCTTCAATTAGGCATTCATGAATTCAAGGTTTAGAAAGGCGAGAGGACTTTCCCAATGTCACCTCATTAATGATGGCACTGGTACTGGAATGCAGACCTCACTCTTCCCTCAGCACTGTCTCTAGTCCCATGCTGTGCTAAATTTAATCCAATTTCTAGGCAATGCATCCTGGTTTAAAGCTGATTCTAGCTGATTCAGTATCGATCACGATAATTATTTCTATTAGTTCTGATGGACATAAGAATCTGCTGAATAATGGTGCTTAGGCTGGGAACGGGGAACTAAGAAAGTTGGATCATTGGGTGGTGGGAGGCCTTATCTTTCTCAGTTTGCAGAAACTGAAAATGCAGAGTCACTGACATCTCAGTTTACGGAACTATAGGATGTTATATCTAGAAGGTGCCCTACATAGTGAAGCCACCAAGCAAATTTATTCAGAAAACAAACATCCATTGAGCATATGCTGTGTGGTTGGCATTGGGTTCAGTAGCAGGGAAACCATAAGGAAGAAGGTAAACACTTTTTCCTTCACTCCGATTCTAGTAAATTACAATTTATAGACAAATAAAAGGGTAATACCATCCAGTGAAGTAACATTACGATTTGACACATAGGAGGAACCTAACCTGAAGGAATGTGTGGCCTGCAGGTGAGTAGCAGGTAGTTAAGTGGAGAGGGAAAGAGGTTCCGGTGGTGGGGAATGCATGTCCAAGGGCTGAGAGGTGAGAAAGTGTGTACACTGATGGAGAAACTGGAAGTAGTTTTATGGATCCAGAGCACAGTGTGCAAAGGTGTGTGGGTGGGAGGAGAGGACAGCAAGAACGGGTGGAGATGATCCAGGGGCCTGTGGGCTGTATGAAGAGTGACGTGGAGTCCTGAGGCTCTTCCAGCAGGCTAAGTCACATGATCCGACCTGTACTTAGGAAAATCATTCTGACTGTGGAGTAGAACGTGAATCAGAGCCAGACAAGGGTAGAAACAGGGAGACCAGTTGGAAAACTGTCATGCTCAGAAGAGATGCGTACAAGGGAAGCAGCAATGGCACATCAGAGAGGTGTGGAGAACATAGAATCACCAGCCCTGGGTGACTGGTCGGTGTGGATGGGTGGCAGGCACTGTGCAAGGGCGTAGACCTTGGGTGGCATGCAAAGGCAATGATCAAAGTCCCCGTCCTTGGTCTCAGTATCATCAGAGTGTGGATTTCGGATCCAGAGAGAACCTTAGAGGTGTAGTCCAGTGTCCTCATTGTATAGATATAGGGTTTCAGGTTAAGGGAGTTTCAATGATTTCCGTGAGATCACATTACTAACCGGTGACAGAGGCAGAATTAGAATTTAGGTGTAGTAATTCTAAATCCTATGCATTTAACGAGGGTTGGCAGCTCGTTCTTCCAAACACAAGAAAGAAATAGCCTCTTCCTTTCAGCCCTTCTTCCCTCCTTCTGTCTCTCTCTTTTCATTCCTTCCTTTGTTCATTTGTTCATTCCTTTCTTCCTTCTCCTCGTTCCTCTGGGGTTAGAGGAATGTGACAGACCTCCCTGCACGACAGCCATAGGCCCTCTCTTCTGATCAGGATCTGTCTCTCCCAGGAGCCCTGGCCATCTGCCTCCACGGCGGCTGTAATTGGAAAGAAAGAAGGTGTTCATTTCTCTATTTTTCTGCTCCAGCTACTGATCCTCAGTTTCCCCCAGAGCTGTGTGAGCCTCCTTTGCCAAGCAACCTCTTCACATTATTTCTGGAATCCTGTTTCGGACACGGGACAGAGCAGGTGTCTGTCTGACTCGTACTGTCACACCTTCCAGCCCCAGTTCAGCATTTCCTGCCACTTCTGTACCTCGGTCTCACACTCCTTCTCCTGGGCTGATGGCCTCCTGCTTTTTAAAGAAATCTTTTGTATTATTCTAGTCCTTGGTGATTCTTCTCTCTCTCATTCATTCCCTTTACTCTCCATCTTGGGTCTCCTCTCTTTGTGTCTCACATCTGGTATTCCTAGAGAGGAAATTTGATAAGCTGAAGAGAAAAGGCAGTCACCTTTAAGACTGTAAACTAGGTTTTAAATCTAAAACCAGGTTTTAAATCCTGGCCCTGCCATCGTTGAGCACTGTGATCTTGGGTAAGTTATTTGACTTCTCTGTGCCTGGCTTTTTTCATCTGTGAAATGGGGATAACAGTACCAGCCTCGCAGGACTGACACGGTGATTGCCAATTCATCTGTGTTGGGGCTTGACATTTCGTAAGTGCTATGTAAATGGACACTATTAGTAAATCTGAAACTACAGTTCAAGAAAGTCTTTTTCTCCCTTTTTTGAGAACTATTTTTTCACTGGACTCCTGGAACAAGAAAAAGACCTCAGCCTTCAGGGCGAGGACTCTGGAGGGCCTGTCTGAAGAGAGAGGAGTGTCTGTTCCCCGCCCTCAGCCCTGGACGGGCTCTGGTGCCAAGGCCTCCCTGCCTGCTGCGGCCCTGCTTGCTATTGCAGCTGCAGGTGGGCAGAGCGGCTGGCTCCGGGCGTGGAAAGGCGAACGCTGTTCCGGCCAGCTCCAGGACTCAGCATTTTCCACTACTCCTCGCTCTGTTTGTTTTGCTCTTTGGGCTGCCCCCGCTGAGCGGGGACTTCTGAATGATGTCCAACAGCAACGCCGGGTCTGCCCGAGGTCCTCGCCCACTCTGGAGCTCCCAGCGCCTCGCGTCTCCTCCCGTTGGCAGGCGGAGGACAGGGGGCCCGGCCGGCCCATGCAGCGAGCTCTCTCACAAAGTACCATTGTATGGGGCCGGTCTGTGGGAGACAAATGAAAGGGATTTCAAAATCAACAGCAAGTTATTTTTATCCGTGAAAGGGCTGAAATGCCTTTCTTTTCCATCTTGGAAAACAAATCTTAAGGGACCATTGTGCCGCAGAGTGTTTTCATTTACTCTGGTATTTGAGCATTTAGGAGAGAGGCTTCTGGAAGACCTGGACTCAGAAGGAAAGAAATCCAGAAAACTGGGCTGCTGCAGCCGACGCACCCCCTCCCCTAGGCAGGAGTCCCCCGGGGATGGCCCAGAACGCAGCCCTAGTGTGGCCCCATGCTTTCGTGCCTTTCTCTTGCCCTCCAGAGTGGGCACCTCCTTCCATCCACCCCACCCACCAGCTCCCCCATTCACTGACCCACTTTTCTCATCCAAAATCTTAGCCTTCTGCATCTGAGTGGGGTCCAATTCAGGAATATGTGACTCCTTCCTGCAAGGTAGGAGTCTCCCAGGCGGGGAGTGCCCGCTCCAGGAACTGCACAGAATAGAACATGAGATGAGAGAAGAAACCATTAGAGCTTCCATTCATAGGTACTTTCCATCTAAAAATGGGAACTACGTTTCTAGGTACTAATACTGAATGTATATATAGATCCCGGTACCCTCAGACTCCCACCAATCATTTGCATCCATGAGAAGCTCTGTGAGGAAAGTGAAGTTCTGCAAGGTGGGTGGGGGAGGTCCTACTGGAGCCCTGATTTCTCTTTTCGCATATAATTACGTGTGTGTGTGTATATATATATATATATGTTTGTTACATAGGTAAACAGGTGCCGTGGTGGTTTGCTGCACCCATCAGCCCATCATCTACATTTTCTCCTAATGCTCTCCCTCCCCTGACCCCCCACCACCCGACAGGCCCTGGTGTGTAATGTTCCCCTCCCTGTGTCCATGTGTTCTCATTGTTCAACTCCCGCTTCTGAGTGAGAACATGTGGTGTTTGGTTTTCTGTTCTTGTGATAGTTTGCTGAGAATGATGGTGTCCAGCTTCATCCATGTCCCTGCAAAGGACATGAACTCATCCCTTTTCATGGGTGCATAGTATTCCATGGTCTTGCATAAACACAGCGAGTCAATTTACAAACCATATTATCTCATTTTAACCAAATCACATTTACAAAATGGAAAAATGTCTTAAAATAGCTTCTGTAAGGAAACTGGAGATTGTTGACAATAGGAGCAATTCAGGCCCAAGAAGGTAAGAAAAATGCCATATCATTTCTTCTACTCCTGGAACAAATTATTTGCCAGCCGTGTATTAAAGCTAAAAAAAAGTAATTTAATTAGGTTTCACAAGATCTGGCCAAAAAATTTTCCAAATCTTGAAGACTACATTAAACATGGATATATATTTATTGTCATTAATGACAATTAGTGCTGTGGGGTATTATATTACCAGGCAATGCTAACAGATATTAGCTAGGGCATGGAGTTTATAAATAAATAAATATGCCTGTATTGAGGGTGGTTCTTAAAAATATTTACGATGGGAGTATAGGGTCAGAAAAGTTTTGAAATGACTGCTGTAAAGGAATATCTGCTGAGGGCCAGCAAGATTTTTGCTGGTGGTGGTGGGAAAACCCCAACGTTTGCAACCGGTAAAAATCAGAGTTTAAATTCTGACTCTAACATTCAAGTTGAATTTACACACTCAGTTTACTATGTGACTTTGGGAATATATGTAACTTCTCTGAGTCTCAGTTTCCTCAAAATCACAATAGTGACACTTACCCCACTGATCTATTGTGAGGATCAGTGAAATACTTTCTATTGAGGGTCTAGGGTAGAACTTGACATGTAGTAAGCAATGCTCAAGAAGTGTTTGACTTATCCAGTCTAACCTTGCTTCTGCCGGGAAGCTAGGGAAGAGCCGCGGGCTCAAGATGAAGCCCATTCTCGGCAAAAGTCTGCTGGTGGGCCTGGGGAGCTTCCCTCATGGCTGAGAAGGTCAGCTTGTATTTTCTAACACATCACTAACAGTCTGTTCTTGGCTCTAAGAGGAGAGGACTATGTGTATGTGTTTAAAACCACTTTGGGTAGGCCTTCCTGGTGGCTTCCTAACCAGTATGAAACAAACGGTTATATGCTGGTTTCAGTCCAGTTCCCAGCAATCTTTTTTCAAAAAACGTTTGTGTCAGAAGGTATCACACAACAGGGCCACAGTTGGCAGGAATTAGCCCCCCATTATGCAACTGAGCCAAAGGTCTCAGAAGTAAATGAGCCATGGAAACTTAGAACCCCCTACTGAGCCTGGAGCCTGGTCTCTGCCAGAACATTTGGACAGCCAAGCTATGCTATAAAAGAGGAAAAAGTCGGTGTGTATGTATTGGAGGGATGGCGTTCAGTTCTTCTAGTTCCTTTCCCAGGCTCCCATTTTGCACACAAGGATACAAGAAGGATGCTGAAGATATCCAAGCGTGAGAACCTCCATCTTCCCCACTACCAGCTCTGATCCATGTTGCTGCTCAGACTGGGATTCATATTCTCTGGAAAAAGCCTCATGCAGGCTCTGAGAGAGCACCAACCAGCTTGTACATATGGAGGTCCTTACCTCTCAGACTCCCCATTCTCAGCAGTGCTTCAGGCTCCATCCAGCCTTAATCCTAGATCCACTACCCCCCTGCAGTTGGTCCTGGGAGAGATTTTTGGGAGTCAGAGGCTCCATTCCAAGCTGAAAGAACTTGATCAATGAGTGTTTCCTTCACAGTTGTCAACTGGGAGATGAAGGAAAACAAATGAAGCTGTTAAAGCCCAGAGCTCAGAGTACGTTTTCGAAATGGAAAGAGACTCTCTTTACAAAGAAATAGCAAAAGAGGAGTGATCTGGTCTGACTGCAGGGTCTTAGCTGAACACAGTTCACAGGGAAACTGCTGTGGCCCGTTGCTCTCTGGGCAGCCTCATGGGTGTGCTCTCCCGCAGCCCATTCCAAACAGGTGACCAACCTGTGAGTCAGGCTTGCCTGGGCTGGAGGCAGCTGATACAGGGAATTCACCGTTTCCATTCCTGTAACCTGACAGCGTTGAACTTTGGTCTCTGAGGTTTTACTCCAAGAGGGGACAAAACAACCCTTGTTTTTATAACTTGCCTACAGGTTATAAGGAAGGAACACTTTTCTTCCCTCTCTCACCATGCTTGATCTAGTTTTGTTTTGTTTTGTTTTTTTGGATTTTCTCTGAGCCACCCACCTCTTTCCTTGTCTCAGGTCAGACTTTCTTGGGTTTCAGATTAACTGTGCTTGATTTGTGACTCTGACATTTGGATAATTCACTTTTCCATTTTAACAGTTAACTCCCAGAATCCAATGTGCCAATTCCTATGCTCATAGACAGTAATATATTTCTGGGATTCTTCCATCCTGCCAAGCATTCTTTACTCTCTGAATATCAGAAATCCATCTTGAGGGCTTAATTCTCTTAGAATCAAAATACCGACTTCAGAAGCAGGCAGACCTAAGATCAAATTGAGGGTCCTTGGACACGTAACTACAAGTCTGAATCACGATTTTCTCTTTTGCAAATGGGGTAGTACCTACTTGATAGAGTTGTTATATTGTTTAAATAGAATCATGTAATAAAGTGACTTTCAAAGGACCTGATACATGGCAAATGCCCAATAAACATTCTACAAGGTAGAGAGTCCCCTTTAAATGGTTTCATTAAATATTAGTTTTATGTATTTTTAGAAGATTATATATATTGAAAATTTACATAACATGAAAATATTCAGAAGCCAATTAGAAAACTACCTGATATTCTTCACTATTGAAATTTTAGTATAAATCTTTTCAGCACTGAATTATGTACACATATATTTGATACCAAACTTGATTTTTATTGAGGTAAAATGAATATAATAGTGATATGCACAGATTTTGAGCAGTTTGATGAATTTAATAGGTATATTTGTATAAGCAATATACCAGAAAATTCCAATATCCACACCCTACCGTCAATCACTATTCTGATTTCTTTTGGCATAGTTAGTTTTGCCTGTTCTTGAACTTTATAATTTATGGGCATTAGGTATAGTACTGAAAGGTTTTGCCTCAATAGTAAAGCAAAATTAGCCCTAGGCTAAATACTGTTCTGTTCCTGCCAAATAAAGCTTAAAAGCAAGACTCGAAAGGGTCAAACTATTTCCAAGTAACTTAACTCAAGGGTATTTTTAGGAATACAAAAATATCCAGCCAGTCCACTATGTCTGGCATCCAATAAAGAGTTACCAGGCATACAAAGAAGCAGGAAAATATGACCCATAATGAAGGAAAAAATCAGCCAGTTGAAAATTTCCAAGAAATGACACAGACGATAGACTTAGTCCACAAGGAATTAAAAGAGAGTAACAATTTCACACGTTGAAGAAGCTAGAGAAAAGACCGAACATGCCAAATGTGATACAAAAGACCCAAGTCAAAATTCTGCAGTTGAGAGCTATATAACATATGACATGAAAGATACATTGGATGGGATTAATGGCAGATTCAACACTGTGAAGTCCTAGCAATGAAATGACCCTTAATAAAGCACACATAAAATAAAGAGTGAAAAGAAAAATGAGCAGAGTCTCAGTGAGTTGTGGGACAACTCTAAGTCTCTGAATAAACATGCAGTTGGAGTCCCCAGAGAGGCAGAGTGTGTGATAGAAAAAAAAAAGGAAACTTTATTAATGGCTGAAACTATTCAGAATTTGATGGAAACTATAAACTCACCCATCTAAGAAGCCCCACAAACCCCAAGCACAAGAAACATGAAAACAAAATATGCTAAGTACATCAAGTTTCTTAAAGCCAGTGATAAAAAATAACTCTTAAATGTCTTAAAAGATAAGATATTTTACATACAGAAGATCAAAAGAAAAAATAAAAGATTCCTTGTCAAAAACAATTCAAGGAGGAGGATAGTGCCCAACATCTTTAAAGCAGTGAAAGTGAAAAAAAAACAGGCAACCTAGAGTTCTATACCTAGTGAAAATAATCTTTTGAAACAAAGACTTTTTCTGACACAAAATATTAAAAGCTTTTATCACCAGCAGAACTACACAAAAAGATTATAAAAGACATATTGTTTTCTTTTTTTTTTTTTTTGGCATGGTCCCATTTTTTTTTTTTTTTTTTTTTTTTGAGAACCACTTCTTCTTCTTCTTTTTTTTTTTAACTTTTTTATTTGTTTTTATTTTTTATTATACTTTAAGTTCTAGGGTACATGTGCACAACGTGCAGGTTTGTTACATAGTTATACATGTGCCATGTTGGCGTGCTGCATACATTAACTCGTCATTTACATTAGGTATTTCTCCTAATGCTATCCTTCCCCTGCTCCCCACCCCACTGCAGGCCCCCATGTGTGATTTCCCCATCCTGTGTCCAAGTGTTCTCATTGTTCAGTTGCCACCTATGAGTGAGAACATGTGGTATTTGGTTTTCTGTCCTTGAACTCATCCTTTTTTATGGTTGCAGCAGTATTCCATGGTGAATATATGCCACATTTTCTTAATCCAGTCTATCATTGATGGACATTTGGGTTGGTGCCAAGTCTTTGCTACTGTGAATAGTGTCACAATAAACATACTTGTGCATGTGTCTTTATAGTAGCATGATTTATAATCCTTTGGGT